GTGGACAGCCCTTGTTCCTGGTATTCCTGTCCAGTAGCAAGGCTCTCTGCCCCTCTCCTAAGAGCATGGGGGATGTGGTGTAGAAGCCCATCAAGAGACACTTCTGGTATGGGCACAGTTCCCTCAGAGGGGTATGGCATGACCTGCTGGGCACTGTGCTGCTTTTAACAGACTTCTTGGGGCCTGAGGGTGAGCAACAGCTGGACTGGGAGGGCAGGGGAGGAATGAGGGCAGGGCACACTGGAGTTGGAGGATATTGCCCTTGGGGATGCTTTAAGCACATGAAGGAAGGGGTGTCTGTGCAGTGGCCAAGTCCCTGTACCACAGGAGGCGGGGATGGGACCTGGACTGTGGGCAGCTGGCACAGAAACAGTGTCTGGTGTCCTGGCCGTAGGTGGCTGTCACCTGGCCCTTGCAGTGACAACCCAGGGTGACACTCGCATTCCTGGCTGCAAGGGCAGGTTACTCACCAACTCAAGTTAATGGCTAACCCTGCAGAAGGTGGAAGGTCAGCCATGTGTGGGCTGTGAGGAGCCCTTGGGGTGGGAGCCTGTCTAGCCCCTCAGCACTGCAAAGCAGGAGCAGTGTGGGGAGGCAGCAGCATGAATGGGGGCTGCAGCAGAGCCCCTGATGCTGGGAGCCCTGCAGGTGCATCCTGCTTCCCACAGAAGATGTGCTCCTGGATGCTAAACTGTTGCTTAGCCCTTCAGGTAAGGGGTGGCTGCAGGAAGCAGCCAGAGAGATGGGAAGAGGTCTGGGATCTTCAGGGGTGGCAGGGGCTGCATCCTGCCAGTTAAAGGATGCTTGGAGCTCTGGCTGGTGTATGCTGTAAGGGGAGTGGGTGATGGTAGGTGCTGTCTGGGGGGTGTCAGTGACCATGAACCTATCCATTGGGGTCAGGGAGGGGGGGCTACACCTCTGGGTGCCACAGGGAGTTGCAGCCACCCCTTCTCTTCCCCACACAGCACCTGGTTGTGCAGGCCTCCTCAATGTGCATCTTCTACCTCCTCCTGCTGCCCACCCTGCCTGAGGAAACAACCCATGCCCAGGCCACGATCGAGCTGCTGGCACGCAGCCTCTTTGCCTGTGGCATCTCCACAGTGCTGCAGACCACCCTGGGAAGCCGGTGAGAAAGGGGGACAAAGGAGATGCAGCTGTTGTTAGGAGGAGGGTGGTGCCAAGTCAAGGCATGGTCCCCTTCTAGTCCAGGGAAAGACGGACCTTGCTGGAGGTGGGAAGGAGCATGAGGACTGTCCCTGCATGGCTGTCCCATCTCTGTCATCACTGCATCCTTCTCTGTCATGTGTCCCTCTAAGAAACATGCTGTGCTTTCCCCTAGCTCCTTGCTGCCTTGCTCCAGCATCCAGCAGCTCCTCCAGGCTGTTGGTGCCTGTGCTGTCCTTGCCCTGTGCAAAACCTGGGCATGTACTTTGGCACAGCCCCTGATCCCTGCACACATCCCATGTGTTGCCACTTGGGATGTGCTAGGGCACATTTGGGTTGTGGAGTGCACTCCTGCCTCTTTGGGGTTCTCATCTCTTTCCC